GAGTAGATATTGTGCTTAGGGACATGGTCTAATGGCGAACTTAGGGCTGGTTCGATGCTTGGACTTGATGATCTTAAAGGTCTAAAAAGGGAAAGTAAATTGTATTTCTGTACTAATTAAAATATAATCTGAAATATTTTCCAGTTTTGTGCTGTATATTGAGTGAACTCATTTTAGTAATGTAATTTACTAGCATAAACTCTTTGGATAATACTGTAATAATTAAAGAAGGATAGGGATTCCTCTACAGGAGGAATAAGTGGTTTTAAATGTACAGATGGTTTTCCATTGCTTTTGTGTTTTTTCCATTTAGCTTGGCTAATTATATGTCTTCTTTTACTGTACATCCCATTGTCTCTATCACTTTCAGTGTTTTTACTTTTCTATCTCTATGGCTAAACTACAGTTAGATTATAGTTTTATTTTTAATGCTGTCATTATAGAATTAATCAAAAGATGTATTAATGTGGGGGGAAGAATGGGAATGGGTATGGTTGTCTTTAGACATTTGTATTAGGAGTAATACTACTGTATAATTAGTGGTATATAATACTTTTTCTTTTAAAAGTATTCTTTTGAACCCATCTGATTTTTTTTTCTTTTTTAAAGGCTAGATCTTGCTATCTGTGTAAACCTCCAATTTTCATTTACTGTGAGAGCTCTGGATATTCAAAAAATGCTCTGACAGGCTGTAGGGGTGATATCCTGCCCAATGAAACTAATGGCAGAAAACCTACTGAATTACTGAGATTTTACTCCATGTATGCATAGAGCAGAAATTTTTTTTCTAATTCACATTCAGAGTGTGCACAGGTCTTTCTAAAATACTTGGAGGAAGAAACATTGAGGCCTTTCTTAGGATTTTATTCCGGGGATTTTTTCTGTTATTGAAAAACTTGATTATTCAGTAATTTTTACTGTTTGCAATGTAGCTTACTGGTAAATCTACTTGTCTTATTTCATGAGCAGGGAGGAAGGTCAACTGTGCTTTGAAAGTGGGATCTTGCAGTATATATACAAGCAAAATGCCTCCCTGACTTCACTGTGGAGGTTTGCCTTCATGGGGACTTCAAGATGAGGCCTTTAATTAGAAAATATCCCTTAGCCATGACTGAACTAGATATTTCTGTTGAACTTAAGGCAATCTATCAGAATTTTTCTAATCAGCCTTTTTAACTGTCTTGTTTTGAGTCATTTTTTTAATGACATCTATTATCAGATTGAAATGGCGATTGAGACACTGCAAAAGTCTGATGGTCTTTCTACTCACAGAAACTCTCTTCTCAACAGCCATGTAAGTTATCTCTTCTTTAATGAAAGCTAATCTCTTGCTTGTTCTGCAAGCATAGCCTGCCTCTAAATGTTTTTTTAATTTATTGCTACTTTTTGATTTTAATCTTTCCATTTTAGTTGCTTGTAATCTACATCTTCTTTCACTGTATTCTGTCAGGTTAATGTCATGACATGTTATAGAGTGCATTTCTTTTCTAGGTTCTGTATTGTGTTAACACAGCTTAACGTATTTGCCTGTTCTGCGGGCCCTAATGTAAATGTGAAAATAATCAAATAATTCTTTAGTCTGAGTTTAACATTTTAAAATTATTTTCTACAATTTGTATACCCAATATTTTAATTTAGGAGCAGGTGAAGGGGGAGAGAAGCAGCATATACTCTGAATAAAAAATATTCTTTAGATTTCTTTTAAAGTATTTCTATTATTCTGAATAAGTGTATTATAAAATAAGAATTCTGAAGATCCATTTGATGAGATAAAAAACATTAAAACAATCTGTTTGTCTCTAATATGTTTTATTCCTCTGCCTCTTGCTTTGTTCTGTCTTTGCAAATCCTGTAGTTAGGAATTTTCCATAAGAGAAAGATGAAGCTGTTTGCATAAAAAAATAGTTGCAAATATAGTGGTAAAGCCACTAAATATAACTTTTAGGGAAAGGAGAAAGGCTCAAAGTTTAATCTTCAGTTTGTTGCTAAACAGTGTTAGTCTTTCTTGAAATGTTATGTAAATAGCAGGGTTTTTTCTTCAGTTGATAAATAGTTTTGCATTTTTTAATACTGCTAAATTTTGATACATACTGCATCCTTTCTGCTTCTCAGTCTTACTAACCAACATAAACTTACATATTTTTTCAAATTCATGTATTCCTTTACCACAAAAATATAAATATTGATTGTGATATGAATATATAAGTATATTGGGTAGAGGCTATACACTTATTTTGACTTGCTGACATCCCAACCCCCCCCCCCCCCCGCCCCAGGAATGTGATAATACGGAGGTGAAAACCAAAATTGTTCTGTCAAAGTTTATAATCATGGTAGAAAAAGACAGCAGGAGCCAGTACAATTTATTGGAGGATAATTTACTAAGAAAATGTTAAAATTGGGTGAGGGAAATGGAATTCTGTAAAATATGAAGAAGGACTTTTAGATAATTTTGGATGTTTTAAAAATAATTAGTTAGAAGGTAAGACAACTTAGAAATATGCTAAAATTATTTCAATGACATATTTTTCTTGCAAAATGCCAAAAATCTGTCTTAAAACTTAGATATACAAAGAATTGATAAGTCTGCCTTGAATCTGACAAGGAAGTCCAGAATCTTCACACTGAAAACAATGAGTATTAAAGGACAAGTTTTTTCTACATGAGAAAACTGTATTCGCCTATTTCCTGTGTCAAACAACAGTTAAAAGATCATGGAGCAGATCCTCCTGGAAGATATGTCGAGGCATACAGATGAGAGGGAGGTGGTTAGAGACAGCCAACATGGCTTCAGCTAGGGCAAATCATGCCTGACTAATCTAGTGGCCTTCAACAATGGAGTGACTGCATCCGTGGACAAGAGAAGAGCTACAGATGTCATCTACCTGGACTTCTGTAAGGCCTTTAACATGGTCCCCCACAACATTCTGGCTGCTAAATTGGAAAGATATGGGTTTGATGGATGGATAAGGAACTGAATGGATGGCCACGTCCAAAAACTTACAGTCAACGGCTCAATGACCAAATGGAGTTAAGTAATGAGTAGTGTCCCTCAAGGATCTGTACTAGGAATAATACTATTTAATATCTTCATCAATTACATAGATAGTGGGATGGAGTGGGTCTGAGGAGGGCCACAAAAATGATCAGACAGCTGGAACACCTCTCCTATAAAGAAAAGGTGAGAGAGTTGGGGTTGTTCAGCCTGGAGAAGAGAAGGCTCTGGGGAGACCTTATTGCAGCCTTCCAGTACCCGAAGGGGGCCTACAAGAAAGCTGGGGAGAGACTCTTCCAGGGAGTATAGTGACAGGACAAGGACAATGGTTTAAAACAGAAAAAGAGTATATTTAGATTAGATATTAGGAAGAAATTATTTACTGAGAGAGTGGTGAGACACTGGAATAGGTTGCTCAGGGAAGTTGTGGATGCCCCATCCGTGGAAGTGTTCAAGGTCAGATTGGATGGGACTTTGAACAACCTGATCTAGTGGAAGGTGTCCCTTCTCATGGCAGGGGGGTTGGACTAGATGACCTTTAAAGGTCCCTTCCAGTCCAAGCCATTCTATGATTCGATGAAAATATCTTCTGAATAATGAGATTTGCTTCTGTCTGTTATGGTCGTCTTATCCTGATGTTTCTTAACTGTTTAGAGATATTTTCAAAACTACTGAAAGAGGGATCTATTGTTGATTCTGTGAAAAAAAGACCTGTTGTAAAAGACCTCCATGCATCTTGCTGTAACAATTGTTCTTTCCTAGCTTCAGTCATTTTGGAATAAATTAATTAATGAAAACCAGTTCAAACTTACTGGATGATTTCTCTATTTTTAAAATGTTTATTTAATTATGACTCAAGTAAGGACAGTAAATATGGTTTTAGTCCTAACTTCTTCCTTAAGGTGGTGTTTTGTTGCCTAAGTCAATACCTGTTCATTTTAATGATTTTTTCATTTCCCTCTATTTTATTTCCTTTCCTGATTTATTTTTGCATGTGATTGACTTAACCAATTTATAATCTAATGCTTTGTAAATATTGACGTTTCATTGAAGTTGGAGTCAAATTACCCATTCTGTGTAAACCATTTCATACCATTCCTATGTCATTAATATTACAAATCAACAAGTCTGAAATCAAAGTCTGGTCATTTCAATTTTATTTATTAATTATATTTCTGCAAAAATATACAAAAATGTGTTTAAGATTTTTTGCAATAACTTTATCATGACTGCAGATCATTTACCTCTTTACGTGTTTTTCAGCTATCGGCACTATTCTTTCCTGGCTGTAACTTACCAAGTAATCACTTCAATTTTATGTTATTGAAATATCTTCACCCTAGAGCAAAAATCCTTATCTTGTACATATCTTGAGTTTTACTTTCCCATTGTCAGCTATTAGCAAGCTGTGGTTGAAAGAATATTCTCATATACTCTTAAATGCCATTAAAGTGACCATTTTACTTGAGTTTTGTGTGTATATTTTACTATTTGTCCTATACGAAGGTACAATGATGTATTAGAAACTGTTTGCCTACATGCTTTCCAAATTGCTCACCAAAATTCTACAATAAATTACATGGGGAAAAAAAGGAATACTAATTCTATTCCTCTGAAGACAAAGGCAAACAGGCTACAACAGAAAGGGATTTGGCCCATAATATTTTACAGATGTACCAGTTATTTTTCATGTCATCTCAATTGTTCGTTACCTTATATTTGATAGTTTCTTTGTATTTGGAAGAAAATAAACCCTATTCAGCTAAATGAAGTACTGGGGATTATTTTCATTTGTGGGATTTTTTTTTAATTTTAGGTGAAGAAAAATAGTATAACATTTCAGAATTTAAAAATGTATTTACTTAGTCCTTTTAGTTTTTTCCTGCAACTAATATAAATAACATTGATTATTTTATTTCCTTGGTGTTCCAATAATTTGCCTCCAAAGCGCAAATAACTTCATCAAATATTAATATATGATACTGAATCTGAAATATTTTTAGAAGTAGAACTATCTGAGGTCACAAGTGCAATGAGTTTTGTTATTTCTTGTAATTCTAAAAGATACTAAGACATCATGGCATATCTAGCATTGAAAGAGATTAAAAGAGATTATATGTTCTTGAAGAACAAAGTCGCTGTATTAAACAGGCCTTAAGAGTTGTCTAAAAAAATATCAGGAGTCTGTGTTGTACAATTATTTTTTTTTTAGTAGAGTAATACTGAATTTACATATGTTGACTCTTTCATATTTTATATAGCTCCAATGGCTTTTAGACAACTACGAAACCGCAGAAGGAGTGAGTCTCCCCAGAAGTACCCTTTACAACCATTACTTACGTCATTGTCAGGAGCACAAGTTAGATCCAGTCAATGCTGCCTCCTTTGGAAAACTCATACGGTCAATCTTCATGGGATTACGGACCAGAAGACTGGGAACCAGGTTTGTGTTAATGAAATCTTAAAGTATAATAGAAAATATCAATAATAATTGTGAATGTGAAGCTTGCATGTTAAAAACAAGCAAGCAAACAAACAAACAAAAAGTATTTAAAATCTTGCTGTTAAGGGATTTACCAAATCCAGTGGGCTTCAGGACCCAGGGGACTCCTGGTCTGGTATAGACAGATTCTGTGTACTCTTAAGACCTAGATATCTTCCATCTCGGTCCAATGGATGCAGTTACTGCTGTTCCCATTTGCAGGTCCAGCTAGTAGTGAGACTGAACGTGTGTTCCAAAGATGCAGATGAACATACACACATGACACTAACACAGCTAACTATAAAAACTAACACAGAGTGATGCCTTCGCTAGCACCCACATAGACACCAATAGCACTCACATAAACATGAATGCAGATAGCCCAATTCTGTTCTTCCTCTCCACATGATCAGGACTGAAGTTGACTAATAAAACATACACAAACCCTCACTCAGTCACAAGCACACCCTATTTATGGAATTGTTTTATCCATCATGACTGCATAAGTAATTTATTTGGTTTTTACTTTTGATATTATATTTAAATGAAGTCAAATGGTAAAGTGCTGAAAAATATAGTTTAAGTGAACTGATTTCCAGAAGCTGGTGGATTTATACCAGTTTTATACTAGAGTGAGAGAAAAGTCAAGCCTAACTTTTATGTGCTGTTTTCCAGTCAGGGCAAATTGTGAAGTGAGCATGATATATATGCATAAAAATAATGTTATTTTTGCTCTTTCATAAAGGGGGAACTCCAAATACCATTATTATGGGATTCGTGTCAAACCAGATTCTCCACTTAATCGGCTACAAGAGGACATGCAATACATGGCTATGAGACAGCAACCCATGCAGCAGAAACAGAGGTACAAGTGTTAAATGAAACTACTTTTGCATATTTCTAATTCTTGGAGACTTACTTGTCCTTATGTGGCAAAGTTGAATCTCTAATGAAAATTGTTTAACTTTTCTTGTGAAAAATGAAGTTTTGTCAGATCTGTAGTTGATATTACTGGAGTATGATATCAGTAGACATGAGAGAGCACAGACCTAAAAACTCATAAATTTTTAAAAAGTTATAATAAAAGTAAAATATTATGCAATTTTCCTGAACAGACACTTCTTGACAGTCTTGGGTTATTTTCCCACAAGCTGGAAAAAAAAGTAATAGGAGCTTTGAATTTCAAATTCTGTTGTTCATTTTCATTACTTTAAGCAGCACATATATAAAATTATATAAGAGCTTGTTCAGCTTTGTGTTGATTTCCTCCTACTGGCGAGAACTGATGTATTAAAACCCTGAACTTGAGGAGAGAACTACAGGCTTGTCAGTCTGACCTTGGTGCCGGGGAAGAACACGGAACAAATCATCTTGAGTGCCATCACGTATCATGTCCAGGACAACCAGAAGATCAGTCCCAGTCAGCACGGGTTTATGAAAGGAAGATCCTGCTTGACTAACCTTATCTCCTTCTATGGCAAGGTGACCTGCTTAGTGGATGAGGGGAAGTCTGTGGATGTAGTGTACCTGGACTTTAGTAAAGCTTTTGACACCATTTCCCACAGGATTCTCCTGGAGAAACTTGCTGCCCATGGTCTGGACAGGCTTTTTT